GATGGCAGTGGGAGTTTTTAATGAGCATTTACCCCTGGTGTTTTGATACAGACCATATCTGGTTGTAAATAGTCTCCCATAGGGAAAAGAAAAGGCATAAAGGTTTTTCACTGCAGAGTGAAAAATCGTATAACATAAAATAAAAATCTTCACTCATCTTAATTGGGAAGAACAGAAAGAATGAAGTTGTCACGGTTAGATTTTTTATTGCAGGACTCAGACACTCAGCTGTAGCTGTCTGCATGTATTTCTTAGCACATAAATGGCACAAAACCTCACCCTTACTCTTTGTTGTCCCGGACTCATCCAGAAGCTTTCTGCACCTTCCATACTCAAAGTGTGGTCTGAGTTAGCTGCACCAGCCTCACCTGGGAGCTGGTTAGAGCTCCAAAACCTGAGGCCCCTCCCCATGCTGAATCAGAATCCAAGTTCTAACAAGAGCCTCAGGTGATTCAGAGGTGCATTAAAGTTTGGGAGACCCAGCTCCATGCTTCTCAAATTTTAGTGTGCTCCAGAATTCCCTGGAATCCTTGTTAGAACAGATTCCTGCCCCCACCCTTCAACCACAGCAATTAAATTTGGTGGGTCTGGTGGTTGAAGGCCTAGAGATGCTGATGCTGGGTCAGCTGCCCACTTAGAGTATGCTCTCTAATTTTCCCCTGAATTAGAAACTTATACCACAGGCCACTCAAACCTCAGTCCACAGGCACGTGGTAAACAGGGAAATAGCCAAGAGCAGCCCAAATTACATACAAGGCAGTGCTTCAGTGGAACCAGGACAGTCCAGAGGCTGTGTCTCCAGTGTCCTGATGCAGCAGCACTGGGCTTAGAGGGACGGCCACCTAGACAAGTCCTCTCTGGGACACCATGCTGGGCTCAGTCTATTTTCTTCTCTGGCTGCTGCCCCAGAGGCTGGTAAGGGACGGGGAGGATGACCCTAGTCAGCAAGGTACAATGAAAAATATGTGAAACTACTCACTACAAATTAGTAAGTAAGCATAAGTAAATTCATGCTTGCTAATTGGATACTCTGTCCCTGTCAGGGATAGTAAATTTGAAAAGAGGCTTTGATTCTATAGGAAAGTGTTTGCAGAGACTCTGATGTGGTGAAAAATGTGAAATTGTTCACTGTAAACTAGTAAGTAAGCACAGGTAAACCTGCACTTACCTTGCTTATTAAGTAATCCAACACTGGTAAAAAGCCTCAGACCAGCCTTAATATCTTTCATGAGAGAGACCTCAGGCACCTCCTTTTGTGTTAACCTCAAGATTTATCTTTTAAGGATTTCAACTAGTGTGGGCCCAAAGAGAACACTTACATCACACCCCTTCTGGGAAATGCTAAATGAAATGATAAATCTTTCTAACACAGACATATACCACTTGATGCCAACATGTGCACACCTACCCTCTGGATAGGTCTTCTTTGAAGACCACAGTGCAACTTTCTAGCATTTCTCTAGCTATAAAACTCAAACTCATTGCCATCAAGTCAGTTCCGACCCATAGCGACCCTCTTTGGGCTTCCAAGGCAGTAAATCTTTATGGAAGTAGATTGCCTAGTCTTCCTTCCACAGACTGGCTGGTGGGTTTGAACTACTAGCCTTCTGGTTAGCAGTCAAGTGCCTTGGGCATAACAAACAGGGAACTCCCACCAGGGATGCCACTGTCTAACTCTCTTTAGATTCCTTTTTAATTCTTTCAATTCTTATTAGGACCTTTGCTTCTCCTAGGTCCTAAAAATTTAAGCCAATTAAATCTCCAGCTACTCGGTATTTCACAGTGAGTATTGTTCTCAGAACTGAAAATGTTACCACTATGTGGCTATGGTAATCAAGTAAATGGCTATACCTGTGTAGATAGAAAAGGCACTACTTTTAAAGGCTGTGCATGCCATTCATACAAAAAGAAATGTATGCAGTGAAATAAATATGCCTTCAGCCATGAAGCAATCTTTCAATAGATCATTCTCACATTTCATAAGTATTTAATTATGTAAGCAATTATAGGTGTAAAATCAACCCTTCCGTGACCCATGGGACATATAGTGCCTATCTACATTTTCTGCCTCTGGGGTTTAGTAGGAAGCCGCTATCCCACTTTTAGTGAGTGCTGCTATTTGATGGGTCCTGCATAACTGTGTCAATATGAAGAAACAGGCCTCATCCCACAAACCCCAGAACCAGAGACACCTTGGGATGTATGTGTCCCACTACTTGTATTGAAATCCTTATTACCACAAAAAAAATTTTTTTCATTTCATTAAAAATGCCTTCCATGACTGAAAACACATGGTGTCAAGAAAAAAGTGTAAAGCAAAAAATAATTAGGTTTTCTTTTTTTATTATTATTGTGATTTGGGTGAAGGTTTACAAAGCAAATTCACTTTCCACACAGCAGTTCACATATACTTTGTTTCATGACATTGACCACAGTTTACCACAATGCAACAGCTCCCCTCCCACTTCCTCCCCAGAGTTACCTCTTCTCTGTGTCCATCCCTCCATGCACTCCTGCCCCCTGAGCTGTCTCCCTGTGCATAAACAGCCATTCTTTCTCCCATGATTGTTCTCTCCAAGGAGTGTATCTACTTGAGGTAAATGTTCAACTCCAAAAAATAATTAAGTTTTGAAAAGATTGAAAGTTTGAAGAGATTGGTAACTATCAGTACCAGTTTTGTAGAGGTATGCTTTTTGAAAAGTACACTCTTTCAACTTGATTTGGTTTGTCATACATTACAGAAGAAAAAAAGAAAAGACAGTGTCAGGATCTTAAAGGTTGTCCTTGCACAGCTGAGTGTCCTGGAGGTGACTTGGGAAAGAGGGTTATGTAGAGGTACGTACTTGACCTTTGTAACTCTGTACCATGAAGCATACGGAACATGGCATATCAGGAAGACAGAATCTGAGCAGAAGAGATTATAGCTTGAAACTGGAGTGAGAAGGGTCTCCACTTAACCATTCATTCATTCCCTTTTTAAAAACAAAGGACACTAGTCATTGCTGAAGGGATACTGAGTTCCTTTTTGGGGTGATGAAAAGCTTTTGGAAATACCTATTAGTGATGGCTGCCCAACAGACGTGGTAAATATAGTTAATGTCACTGAATCATACACTTGAAAATGGTTGAAATGGCAAACATTTCGTTAAATTTCAAAAAATAAATAATAAAATATAGTGAAACATCCAGAGGCATCACCAAGTTCAGGCACAGTTTGACCAAGCAGCTAAAATGGTATGAGCAGAACCTGGTTCCTTTTTTTCTTCCTGTTTCTCAGCTCTGAATTGTGTTGGCTGCTTGGCCCCAGGCATTCTTGTTGTGGTTTCAAATTGGCTTTTAGAAGTTCCTGGGATACATGATTCCTCTTTCACATTCTTTATGAAAGCAAGTTTCTCTGTCCCAGAGTTCCTAGTACAAATACTGGGATTAATTAGACTAGTTGAGGTGCTCAGCTGAACTGATTACTAGAAGCCAGAGAATGGCCTACTGTGACTTGGATTCAGAGTCGGCCCTGAACCAGGCTGTAAGCTGGGAGATGGGATCCTCCAGTTTAACTCACTGAGGCACACACTAGCAGGGAAGGCGGGCTCAATCCTATGCAGTTTCTTCTGCCCAGAATTCGGTCATAACACATAGAACTAGGCCAAGAGGTGGAAAGCGTCATCTTACTGTGTGTCCAGGAAGAAGTATAGCTATGTACCATGTTTTTTATATCCTTGGGGAAAGAAAATCCCCCAAATGTGCTGCCTTTATCTGACCTGAGGGTGGGAGTAATTTAGAGGGGGAGGCGGAGCTGATAAGATACCGGAAGAGGCTCTGAGGCTCTTGAGCTATGGCTGTGAGTACTTTTATCTGAGAGGAGTGCTTTGACTCATAAGTAGCCTTGATTACCATCTTCATTTATTAAAACAAGCTGGCACACTTCTTAGAACCCATTTAGTTTTCTGTTACCAAGGTAGGCTTAAAAATGTAGCTTCAGGTAAAAATACTCAAAAATGCTGAAGATGTATAACCACGTGTCTCCAGGTAATTATTATTCGTAGCACCACAATCTGTATGGAAATTAGAGTGAGAGATAGGGATGAAGTGTGGTCTAGTGAACAGGAAGTATATGCTATAAAAATATTTTCTTTGCTTTTGCTTATCAGAGGATTGACTGGTTGTTTTATACTTATATGTTGTTGTTGTTGTTTGCTGTCGAGTCGGCCCTGACTCATAGCGACCCCTCCTTGGGTTTCCGAGGCAGAATTACTGCGGAAGTAGGATTGCCCAACCTTCCTTCCGAGGAGTGGCTGGTGGGTTTGAACCTCCAGCCTTCTGGTGAGCAGTCAAGTGCCTTAGGCACTATGCTACCAGAGCTCCTTTATACTTATATAGTAAGTGGTAATACTTACAGAAGGAAGATGGGGCAATCTACTTCCATAGTGATACTGCCTCGGAAACCCAAGGAGGGGTCGCTACGAGCCGGGTCTGACTCGATGGCACATAACAACAACAATACTTATAGAAATATAGATGTGCTTTGGACCAAGAATTAAATAACTTTGTTTGATTGTTTAAAATAGAGCTAATTGTATAGCCTCAAATAAATACAGTTTAGGAAACAAAATGAAGCCTGGCATCCAGTCCTTAGTTCAGATCATAAGTATTTAACCTTGAATGGATAATTTCTGGTGGAAATTTCTGACATTATGCCAGATATAATAATTCTCTAGACTTTGCTTATTTTCTATTTCAGCCTTAAAAGCTTTTTCAGCAAGTCATATTTTTTTAATTACTATTTTTCTCTTCTCCATGTCAACCTGAGAGTTTGCATAATGGAAACAGTGTCATCAGTCACTTGCATATAATTGATGATAAAACCTACTACAGCCCAACTCTAGGCTACAAAAATTGGATGCCTACAGAAGATGCATTGGACTTAGACAATAAACAAAATGCACAAACTGAGTAATCTCATAATTCACTTCTTGTGTGTGTGTGTGTGTGTTTTTTTCCAGAACCGAATGGAAGAAAGCAAAGCACTCTTTAGGACAATTATCACATACCCCTGGTTCCAGAACTCCTCGGTTATTCTGTTCTTAAACAAGAAAGATCTTCTAGAGGAGAAAATTATGTATTCCCACCTAGTTGACTACTTCCCAGAATATGATGGTAAGTCGGCACTCTTCAGAGCAGCTGAGTAGGTGGGGGCATCTTTTGCTTCCCCCCACATACAACAGCTAACACATTCCAGTGCACTAGGGTCCCTGTGAGTTGAAAGTAACTCAGCGGCACACAACAACAGAGTTACCTTTGCTCTCAGAAGTCTGCATGTTCCAACTGATGGATTACCAACTACTGTTTGCTCTGTCCTTGAGTGACACAAAACATTTCATTCCCTGATACAGGTGAAAGAGAGAAAGAAAATAACTTCTAATATGTTTTGAAATAGCCATATCAGAGCAAGGAACAACCCAGAAGTTTGGATTAATTAAACATCAGTCATTATTTTTCCCTCTTATCTCCCTTTTACTTGGTTATAGTCTGGCTCTGTCTTGGGGAAAAAAGTTTTGTGGTCAAGAGCCCATGCTCAGAAGTCCATCTGCCCAGGTAGAGGGATGGTATCTAGGTGATATCTTCCTAATCCTTTTCCATATCTCCTTTGTCCAATATTTCTCCAGATTCCCCATCACTGCAAGCACTTCCCTTCGAACCTTTGCTCACCGTGAATGCCTTGACATTTGAAAATGTTTCTTTCATTGTATATCTGCCAACAATGCACATAGGAAACTTGGCTACTAAAAAAGAAGAAAAGACACTGATTTTGTTATTCACAAAGCAAACCCAGCTGTCATGTCAAGAGATTCAAAGCCCTTGTCAGATGAGCTAAGACTGAAAAAAAAAAAAACAACCCTGGGCCTACTCTGCAGTGTTTTTATAATAAACGTGTTTATAGTATTATAAATTTCACACTTCCACATTTCTGCACTTACAAGGTCTTAATCATAATGAATGCTGTTTCTGTATTTCTCTTCTGAAAGGGAGATTACCATTTCCACATGAACTTGAATCGCAAAATTGTTCATAGAGGCTCGAGAACTTTGTTCCTACTATGATGGGTATAATGATTTCTTTGTAGTTTATGTTTATTCAAATAACATGACTTACCCTTAAAAGCATAAAACACTGCAAGAACTCTTCAATGAAATTGAGTCTAGTTCTGATATACTTTAGGGTCAAAAAAGGAAAAAAAAAAAAAAAAAGTAGTTCCTTCTTTCCCAAATATATAAGTACATTCATAAGCCACAAATAGAATGTTCTTTTACAAAAATGAGAAGCTTTTCTAGCTCTTACAAACTCTCTGGTTTTAAATACTTTTCATTGCTACTCTAAAATTAGTAAGTTAACAGTAGTACGTTGAAAAAGATAGGACCTTAAATAATTACTTATTACCTATCATTTTTAATTGTGGTACATTTTTCATTCAAAGGAGCTCTGGTGGCATAGTGCCTAAGGCATTTGACTGCTAACCAGAAGGCTGGCGGTTCAAACCCACCAGCCACTCCTTGGAAGAAAGGTTGGGCAATCTACTTCCGTAGTGATACCGCCTCAGCAACCCAAGGAGAGGTCACTATGAGCCAAATCCAACTCCATGGCAGTGTGTTTGGTTTTTTTATTTTCATTAAATATCATACTAGTCATTTTTGGCCATCCTTCTTAGTCATCAACAAAAATTTCAATTCTGGGCATTTAAAGTTATTTGGAAACATTTCTTTTAATTGCTTAACTTTGAATTATTGATTTGTTTTCATGGCTTTTTCTCCCACTGGCAATGTTAGATACAAGTAAGCTCCTAGGAATAATCCCCAATTTGCAATAAACATAAAGTTGGTTAGAAAGGTTTAAAGTTGGTGATCTGAAATGCAGGGGGTATACTGTTAGGAACGGCAGTCAGGCCCTTGGTAGAGTCCTCAAAGAGGCCCCTGCCCCAGCCAGTAGAGAACAAGAGTATTGACAGAAGACACATCCTGGAGGGCCTGAAACTTACTGGAAACAATGGGGGAAATGCAAATACAGAATGGCATAAAGGCTGATGCAAGGGGAGTGCTCAGCCTGTGAGGCGGAGTCAGCTTATTATTCCAGTAAAGCAGCAGGTTTTAAATTAGTATCTTTATCAGGGTCAATTAAATAAGCATTTAACTGATTTTGATAAATACATCACATTCCTTTTTCAAAGCATTGAGGACGGTGCTTGGTACAAAAGAGACCTCCAATAAATGTAAAATAAAATATAAACCACTTTTTTTTGTTATCCCACATAGTAAATTGAATATTGTCTAAATGCAAGGTTCTCAGGAACACTGGTAGTCTATAGAAATGAGACTGCAGAGGACAATTATAGATCAACCTGATTTTAAGGGACAGATGTTTTGGTTTGTCCTCTTAGATTTCAGTCTAGAGAATTTAAAATGATCCGTAATTGAGGTAGAGGGGAGATTGGCAAGAGGGATTGAAAGTGGCTGTGTCTGCACGCACAGTTAGAATATAGCTGAAACCAGCCCTCTTACTTAAGTCCAACAGAAGAAAAATACCACTGCCCTGGTGATGTGATTCAGAGCAGAACTGAGTCTGGCCTGCAAGCCATCTGTCTGTTTTCACCCTTCCGTATTTTGTGGATGGAGAAACTGACAGCTAGATGGATGGATGGACAGATGAATGGAGGGATGGGCAGATAAAGTGACAAAGAGAAGAAATTGCACATAGTAGTGCTGGGGAAAATGACCAACACAGATCATTTAAGTGCAGATGTAATCCTCTATGCAATTACACATTTTGAGGAAATGATGAAGGAATGGAGTTGCAGCTCAGCTAACTGTTCTTTCCCTTCCTTGGCCAACAGGACCCCAGAGAGATGCCCAGGCAGCTCGAGAATTCATCCTGAAGATGTTCGTGGACCTGAACCCAGACAGTGACAAAATCATCTACTCGCACTTCACATGCGCCACAGACACCGAGAATATCCGCTTTGTCTTTGCTGCCGTCAAGGACACCATCCTCCAGTTGAATCTGAAGGAGTACAATCTGGTCTAACCGTGCCTCCTAGACACCCACCCTTCCCTTCCCCGGTGGGCTATTGAAGATAAACAAGAGGGACTGTATTTCTGTGGAAAACAATTTGCATAATACTAATTTATTGCTGTCCTGGTCTCTGTGTGAGTGTGTCCACAGAGTTTGTAGTAAATATTATGATTTTATTTAAACTATTCAGAGGAAAACCAGAGGATGCTGAAGTACAGTCCCAGCACATTTCCTCTCTCTTTTTTTTAGGCAAAACCTTGTGACTCAATGTATTTTAAATTCTCAGTCATGCACTCACAGAGATAAGACTTGTTTCTTTCTTTCTCTCTCTCTCTGTCTCTCTCCCTCTCACTCACTCACTCTTCAGTTTTCTTTTCTATTGAGCAAAACGAAGCTGGTTTCCCGTTTTCCTAACACATCCCTCTCTCCTGATTTTTCCCAGGTTACAATGGCCTTTATCCTAGTTCCAATTTTGGTCAAGTTTTTCTCTTGAATGATACAGTCAGGACAGTGTCATTCAATTTAAGCCATCATGTATCAGTTTAATTTAAACTGGATAGTTTTTGCTGAAGGATTATAAGTATTAATAATATGGTTTTCATTGTATTGCTCTGGGTACAGACATAGAGGTTTTTTAAATATTGTCTTGTCTCACTTTGGAATAGGACAATGAATGCCCATCTTAATGGTTAATTATCATTTCTTTTGGATTTTTACCTTCAGCCATAACTTGCTTACTCAGAGAATTACACAGAAGTCAGCAAGGCAAAGGCAAGGACACACAGAAAGAGTCCTTTCTTTTAAAATGTCACGTGCCATTGTCCTCCCTCCCTCCTCTGCTTCTTTTTTCTTCCTCGTCTGCCTTCTGTAAATCCCAGATGCCAGAAAGTCTGCCAACAGACACTACATTATCCCCAGTGGCTGCTGCCCAGTATCTTTTAGCAGTTTGCTCTTAATTTTTTTTTTTTTTTCAGTTCAAATTTTTTCTCCCTTTTTTTCTTAGTATTTGGGCCACAATTTAAAAATAACTTTTATTATGGATATATGTTGCCAAAGCTGGCTTTTTTGTAAAAATAATAATAATAAAATTTTAAAAATAAATAAATAAAATGTAAGAGAGAAAGACTGTGAAGCCAAAAATGACTGGCTGAGAATGAACCTGAAAGCCAATTGCCAAACAATCGGCAACTGTAAATTTGATTCTCACGGTCCGTTCTTTTCTTTGTCCTTCAGATCACGTAGCTTAGTGTCCACGTTCCATGTTCAGTGTCCGAATCGGCATTGTGGAAAACTGTGCTATGTGGTGCAACATGAAATCTGCTGATGTCTCTATTTGAAGCCAGTTTTACTCTCTTTCTCTGTGTTCTGTGAGATGGAGCAAGTCTGCCAAGAACAGTGGCTTATAGTATTATTCTGACACCTTTAATTTGCAAACTCTGAAGTTCCTGATGATAATTTACCATCTTTGGGATCTTCTTAAAGTGGTGACTGATTAAGGTGAACTTAAGGAAGCTGTGTGGACTTCACTCACAAGTAACCTCCTAATGTTCTATGGAACATGTATTGATGTCACTGAACCCACTAGGAGAGATTTTTGGAATTCTGTATGTGTAATTTTTCAACAAATGCAAAAAAAAAAAAAAAAACCTAGATGGATCAAAGACTTAAATTTGAAACCTAAAACTATTAA